TTTCCAGTGCTCTCCACCTCGCGATGCTGCGCTTCTTCCGCGCCGCCTTGAGCATCGCCTTCAGGGTCGCCTCGAAGGCGCTGTTCTTTGAGGCCCCGCGCAGTTGCTGCCTTAATCTCCTTAAACGCTTCGGAGATCCCGTGCTGCGCTTCGCGCGTGTACCAGCCTCTCTGCCCTCGTGCGCACCTCGCCAGCGGCGCGGTCTCAGCAGCGGCCGACATCACCGTAGCCGTCAGCTCGGCGGCGGTCTCTCCCGTTGGCCGCCTGAGCGCCGTGGGCGGAGGGCGGCTGGAGGCCCTGTTTTGGAAGGCGACGGTGTTTGTCCTTCCTCAACCGCCCGAGGTCGATACGGATCCGGCTGCTTCCGCTGTTCCCCCGCACTGGTCGGTTGGGTGCGACACGGGGGGGGAGGCGGACAGTCGTAAGCACGAGGTTGTGGTCAGAGTCTTGGAAGTCGACACGTGTGTGTTTGTGTGTTGATCTATGCACATACATACATACATACATATAGGGACAGATTATTCTGCATGTAGTAGTGTTCCCCCGGGATAACTGGCGTGATCCAATCGGAAGCGTGCCAACAAATGGCGAGCCTTTGACGACTACACTACCACATGTTGCATCAACCTCCCAACAGCAGCAGTATCTAACAAGAACAAGACGACACAGAACAGCAACAGAAACAAGAAGCCATAACAACAGCACTACTGTATCCAACATATCCGTGCTCGCTTCGCACCTTGGCGTGTGACCCCTTCAGCAAGACCACCTCGATGAAGATGAGTCAAGTAGCGCTTTAGCTCAACTTGGCCGAGGCGCCCTTGCTAATTGGACCAGCCGCCAAAGTGTGAAGCGAGCGTAGGAATGTTGATTCAACTATTCTTGGTGATGCTACAATTCTGTGCGGCCTTGTTCTGTTGCTGGGTTCGGTTGTCTGTCCAGGTCTCCCTCTGGCGCCCGATGAGCTATCCAATGTCAGACCAGGTCTAACAAGCGAAATACCAATGTGTTTTTTTATTGTATGTTTTTGACGTTTGTACTTGTTTCGATCTGTACGTCAGCTAGCCTTTGCGATCGAGGTACAATTTTCGTTTTCCCGTCTCGATTCCGATGAAGGGCGACAGTGGCGTCGAGATGCGGAACGTTGTGCGCACCGCTCTTTTGTCTGTAAGCAGCGGAAACACAACAAAGACGCTCCTTCGCAACTACATATTGTACCGCCCAGACCCAACGAAGAGAGCAAAGTCAAATTTTAACGCCCTTACTCACGGTCCTTTCTTCTCCAACACGTGCTCCTGTCGAGGACAAAACTGTTAACGTTCAAACCGCTCAGGCATGCAAAACATCAACACATGAACACTCCCCTGCTGCTCCTGACGTTTGGCTCTATCTTTTTGTTGTAGCCTGCGAGCAAATCCCCACAACGGTGTCCTACACGCCGGGCACCACAACGGCGTCGTCACGATGTGGTCCCCGGCGATGGGGAAGCCTCTGGTGCGAATGCTGGCGCACCCGGCTCCTATCACGAGCCTCGCTGTCGAAAAGGGCGGACACTACATGGTCACGTCGGCGATGGACAAGCAGGTGCGTGCTTGTGTTCAATGTGTTCGTGAAATGGGCCGAAATTTGTCCTCGCTGTGGCGCGGGCGTTTGGATTAGTGCGCACGTTCCTGGCGCGTTGATGCCCAACCCCCTCTTGATTCCAGCTTGATTCCAGCTGACTGCTTGCCCGACACACCCTCTCAGTCTTTCTATCCCTCTAATCTCTCTTCGAGAACCTGCCGCCCGTTTTCTTTCGTCGTTGAATTCTCTCCGTAGCATCTTCCTTTGTCTCTCCTTATCTGATCTTGCTAATAACTCCTCCTATCTCCGTATTCCTCTACCTTTGCGCCTCTCTCTCTCTCTCTCTCTCTCTCTCTCTCTCTCCCTCTCGCTCCACCCCTTTGCCTCTCACCTCTCTGTCCGTGTCCATTTCCTTCCTTTCTTTCTTCCTTCCTTCCTTCCTTCCTTCCTTCCGACGAGAAGACGAAGGTGTGGGATCTCCGAACGTACAAGGAGGTCCACTCCTACTTGACCAAGACTCCCCCCACGGACATGGACATCTCGGAAAGAGGCCTGCTCTCGCTGGGCTTTGGGTGTCACGTCCAGGTAGCGCTAGCAGACATGACTCTGTGAATGTGCTGAGGGAAACAGTATGGTGTCGGGGGGGTTGTCGCATATATCGTTTCGTACGATCCACGCTACTCGTGTTGAATGTGCTGGAGGCTCGCTGGGAAGACTCGCTGGTTTTGTTCCTCGTGTGTCACATCTGAAATTTCTGTTTGCGGTGTTTTGCTTCCGTTGACAGACTATCTGCCTGCCCTTCTGCACCCTGTGCTTCGATTTTCGCCATCAGTGTAGCCAACAAACGTTGTATCCAAAGAAATAACCTATCCTATACAGTAGTGGTCGAGTTCTTTTTTGTTTGTCAGTTTTGGGCACGTTAAAGAGCAAAAATACTCCCTATTTACCTATTCCCGTCGTGCCCCCCTTTCTTGCTTGTGCCTCCCATATTTTACTAACCTCATTTGACTGGCCTCGCCCCTACCCGCTACCTGCGCGTTCGCGTCTCCCCCCTGTGACGAAAATCGCCGGCGTCCAGGTATGGAAAGATGCGATCGCCACCAAGGCAAAGGCCCCGTACATGGAGCACGACCTGCCGTCGAGGTTGATTCACCGGACTCGCTTCCGCCCGCTGCAGGATGTCTTGGGATTGGGACACACCGAAGGGTGAGAGAACGGGAAAGGGTGGTCGTCACGATTGCAGCGGGGTAGGCACGGAGATATGGAATCGAGAGGGAGCGGGCGAGAACGGGGAAAGGAGAGAAGTGTAGCTCCCACCTTTGTCTCAGAACTCATGGTAGTCATCCAATCAAAAACAGCAGCAACGTGCGGTGATCAGCAGCAGCAACAAAAACAGCAACAAACGGTATTCATCAACAGCAATAACAACAGCAACGACAACAACACACAACATTCCACCCGCGACAAGGTACTCCTCGATGGTAGTGCCCGGGGCGGGGGAGCCAAACTTCGACACGTTCGAAGCGAACCCTTTCCAGACCTCGAAGCAGCGCAGGGAGTCGGAGGTCGTGTCCCTCCTCGAGAAGCTTACGCCGGAGACCATCGGCCTCGACCCTTCCTTCGTCGGCAGGGTCGACGCCGACCCCGTCGCGCTTCAAGCAGAGCAGGTGCGTACAAAGGATTCAGCGCCGTGTGTGCATCGGGCGGGGGTACTCATAGTCGTCCATGCCGTAGTCGTTAGATCGTTGACCTCGCACCCCTGCAATGCCGGGACAGAGCGATATGCCGTTTTTCGCCGGCCCAGGGGGGAGGGGGGGAGGGGGGGGGGGGGCGTACTCTTGTGTTTTGCATGCCTTAGCGGTTAGACCATTGACCACCCGTCCTCGAGAGGACGTAGCACTGTTCCCACAGGACCGATCACCAATGGCCAATCGTTCCTTTCTACTTTGCCAAAGGTGGCTCAAAAATGTCTTCCCTAGTCTGTCTATCCTAACGATATCCCTTCCCGCCTTTTCAACCCACCTCCTATGCCCCAGTACAGCTACCGTCCTTTCCTCTCTATTCCATGCCTCAAACATCTC